GATATATTCAAACAAACAGTTAGTTTTGATTTACTATTCAATTGAATGATATATTCAAACAAACAGTTAGTTTTGATTTACTATTCAATTGAATGATATATTCAAACAAACAGTTAGTTTTGATTTACTATTCAATTGAATGATATATTCAAACAAACAGTTAGTTTTGATTTACTATTCAATTGAATGATATATTCAAACAAACAGTTTTGTGATTTGAAACTAAAAATTGATTAAAAATTGTTATAAATATTGTAGTCATCACAAGGTATGCCATTGATTGATATAATTATTAAATTATTTGTTGGTTTCGATGAGATTTTAAAATTTTTATTTTATTTTATCAGATATGGCATCAAATGAAGTGAAGGGTTTGCCATCGATGACAATGAAGAGCCGATTGCGAAGATATTTACGAATTGAATATTTGAAACGACAATCGTTTGATCGATTCGGCGATGATTTGACAGAACTGTTGTTGTCTTATCTGACATTTGATGATAAGCTGAGACTTGAATCGGTGTCCAAACAATGGCAACGATTAATACCACAGACTGTAACAGACGTTACATTTGATCAGAAATTTTGTTCACTAAACGACAGGTCGTTCATCAGATTTCTGGAAAAGTGTCCAAACATTAGACGAATTGAAATCAAACGTAACTTATATTTGTTGGCATATATTAGCCAATGGTGTCCACACTTGCGCCACATTTGTATTAACACTTATGGACGTTATTACTACTACGACGGCGACCTATTGGACACAATTGTCGATCACTTTTTCGTTGCGTTTGCCAAACAATTGCAAACAATTTTAGTGATATATTGTCAAAATCAACAATTCATTGATGCGTTGGTCACTAATCTCCCGAACTGTGCGAACCTATCGGAATTTGACTGCGAAATTGACGCCTATTTTCCCGAAGACTGTCATATCTATCGACACTTTACTATTGAACCACATTTTCGGAAATTAAACAAACTTGTGATCGATGTTCGCAATGACGAAGTGATCGACATTTTTGAACAGATTGTTGAACTCTATGGCCAACAATTGACATCAATAACTGTAAAGTTTAGTTTAAATGGTCTACTCTTATATGCACCGGTAGTTATGACTGGTTTGTCACAAATGAAACAATTGATTGACTTGAAAATTATTGCAATCGATTGGTTCGATAATTTACAACAATTGGCAAAACAGTTGCCATCAATTGGTCTCCGATGTCACCGATTGAAGTGTTTATCATTTTATATGTCTGAAGATAGTGAATATATTAACCATTATGTTATGAATGGCAGCGATATATTGAACACTATTTGCAATAACTTTAAACAATTAAAGAGACTGTATTTGACACAAAGTTTTGATTATAACATTGATTTGATTGGATCTAATAATACAATGAATGGCTTCAAACAGTTAACTCATTTGACTATTGAATCAAATGAGATGTCGACAACCGATCACTTTATCGATGATATTGTCGCTAACTGTCCGCGACTTCAATACTTGCGATACAGCGGTCATCGCATTGATAGAAATGCATTGAAATCATTGTTACGATTATCACATTTACGTACAATTGACTTAAACAATGTCGACAATTGTTTGGGCCATTTGAATGACATGAAAATGTTACCAAAATTGTAATTTTACTGATAATTATAACTAAAATAATCGATAATTATTGTATTTTTAATAATATTTAATGTTTAGACATTATTTTGTTATAAATTTATAAATAATTCATTACATTAAGTAAAATAATTAGATTAATTAATTAATTATTTATAATTATTAAATCAGTTAGTTTTGTTACAATACTAATAATCATATAACTTACCGTATTTTAGTCTATAATATACTGTTTATTTAGTATAAGATATGTCATAATTTTGTATTTATTATTATTATTAAAATAATTACAATTATAATATTAAATAAAACTTTTTTGTTTTTACTAAATACTATAAATTACTAAATTGTTAATATATTTAATAAAACTATTTAAAAAAACTTAATAAATAATTCATTAATTTTTATTAATAAAGCACTGAAAATACTATACAACTATTGAATCATTTATTAAATTATAACAGTATTATTAGATTATTAACTGTCAGTCAATGTGTGCGCAAAATATATGACATATTGTTTAGTTAATTGAATGCATTGATTGATAATAACAAACAAACTGTTAATTTTGATTTACTATTCAATTGAATTGAATTTTGTTTATTATTTGTTTGTTTTGTGATTTGAAACTAACAATTGATTAAAAATTGTTATAAATATTGTGGTCATCACAAGGTATATGCCATTGATTTATATAATTATTAAATTATTTGTTGGTTTCAATGAGATTTTTAAAAAAAATTTATTTTATTTTATCAGATATGGAATCAAATGAAGTGACGGTTTGGCCACCGATGACAATGAAGAGCCGATTGCGAAGATATTTACGAATTGAATACTTGAGACGACAATCGTTTGATCGTTTCGGCAATGATTTGGCCGGACTTTTGTTGTCTTATCTTAGATTTGATGATAAGCTAAGACTTGAATGTGTTTGCAAACAATGGCTTCAAGTGATACCACAGACTGTTGAAGAGATTACATGTGATCATAGATTCTGTTCACTGACCGACTTGTCGTTTGTCAGTCTTCTGCAAAAGTGTCCAAACATTAGACGAATTGAAATCAAATGCAACTATTATTTGCTGTCATATATTACACTAAAGTGTCAACACTTGAAACATATTTGTATTAATAATTATCGACATTATTATCACAACTACGACAACAACTTATTGGAAGCAATTATTGATGACTTTTTCGCTGTATTTGCTAAACAATTGCAGACAATTGATGTCAAATACTGTCGATGTCTACAATTTAGGCAATCTTTGGTCAGAAATCTTAAGAACTGTTCGAAACTGTTGTCGTTTAGCAACGAATTTGTCTTAAATTTAGCCGAAGACAGTCATATCTATCGACAGTTTACTGTTTCCGAACCACATTTCCGAAGACTAAACAAACTGGTGATCGATATTTACAATAAAGAAATGGCTGACATATTTCAACAGATTGTTGCACTCTATGGCCAACAATTGATATCAATGACAGTAAAATTTGGTTCAAATGGTATATCCTTATACGCACCGGTAGTTATGACTGGTTTGTCACAAATGAAACAATTGATTGACTTGAAAATTATTGCAAACGATTGGTTCAATAATTTACAACAATTTGCAAAACAGTTGCCACCAATTGGTCTCCGATGTCACCGATTGAAGCGTTTATTAGTTTATATGTCTGAAGAAAGAGGATATAATAACCATAATGTTATGAATGGCAGCGATTTATTGAAAACTATTTGCAATAACTTTAAACAATTAAAGAGACTGTATTTGAGACAATGTTTGGATTATGGCATTGATTTTATTGTATCTAATAATACAATGAATGGCTTCAAACAGTTAACTCATTTGACTATTGAATCAAAGCCTATGTCGACAACCGACCAGTTTATCGATGATATCGTCGCTAACTGTCCGCGACTTCAATACTTGCGATACAGCGGTCATCGCATTGATAGAAATGCATTGAAATCATTGTTACGATTATCACATTTGCGTACAATTGACTTAAACAATGTCGACAATTGTTTGGGCCATTTGAATGACAGGAAATTATTATTATATTTAAAAAATAGTCATTAAAATTATATTTACAGATAAATATTTCATATTAACAATCATTAAGTAGTAATTTTTTTAAAATTTTTATTAATCTATAGCTTAAAGTAACTGTAATATAAAAATTGTTACATTAATAATAATCACTTTTTTTTAATAAGTACAGTACAATTGTTTGCTTTTTTTGTATTGATATTATAAATTATAATACATTTCGTAATTTTTTAGTAACATTTTACTAAATATTAATTAATTACATATTTAGTTGTTAATTGATTTATAATACTAAATCAAATTAATAAATAATACAACAATTGATTTTATTAATAAAATACTATTCAACTATTCAGTTATAATTATAAACTTTAATACACTTTATTTTATTAAATAATTTTTGATTAATAACTTATTTCCAATACATTTAGTTTAGTTATTAAACAAAATAAATTAATATTTAATTAATTATTTTTTATTAACAATTACTATTTTATTATTATATTCATTAACATTATTTTATAATAATAATAATAATAAAAAATTATGTACAATATTTATAGTCGTATTTATTCGTAATAATAAATATTTAAAAAATTTTAATTTATTTCTAAGTTTTTATTACATTACCGGTTATACAGTAGTAATCACATTAAAAATTTATTTCCAAAAATTATTATGATTTATACAGTGAAATAAAATATATGTTGTATTTTATGTTTATAAAGTTTTTTTTTAAATTTATATATATTGATAAAAATAACTAAATATAAATAACAATAAAAACTAATAAACGAAACAATTTATTACTAATACTATTACTAAACTATAATATTAATTAGTAATTACTTTACGTATTATATTAATGAATAGCAATAATTGCAATAAATTTAATTATTTTATTAATACATTAAAAAAACTGTTTCATTATAAACAAAACCAAAACAATAATGGCCGTCACGCTATGATACCCTTATTTAACTTTTTGACACTACTCTTAAACTACGTTATCATATCTATTTCTTACACAAATAGCTTAATAGCAATAAATATGAAAACGTAATTTAAGAGTAGTGTCAAAAAATGGTATCATAGCGTGGCGGCCATTATTGTTTGGGTTTTGTTTATAATGAAACAGCTTTTTTAAACTGTATGAAAACTTTTCAGCCAATAATAGTCAAGCATTTGTTGTTTGTTTGAAAATATTTTTTGAATCAATGAATGCAATGAATACTTGTATTTCAGTAATCAATTGATTAGTGTTTTCATTAGTTTTCACAACAAAAACAACAAAATAAAAGCATTTGTGTATCAATTGATTTAACAAAAAATAAACTAAAATAAAATAAAATAAAATAAATATATTATCACTAATTGTTTCATCAAATTGTAAGTTAAAAATCACTTATCATTGTTTGAATTGATTTATTAATAAAAAAAAAATAATACTTATCTCTTATTTATTGTCTTCAGGTATTTATGACATCATCAACAAAATAATAGCACATTTTTTTTGGGTCATCGATGACCACAACAACAATGCGTTTAAGAAGTTCATCAAAAAGACGATCATTTGATCGTTTCGGCGATGATTTGACACAACTATTGTTGTCTGATCTGACATTTGAAGACAAACTAAGATTTCAATGTGTGTCCAAACAATGGCAACAATTATTACTACAGTCTGTAACACGTATTTCATGTACCGATCGGTACTCGGATTTAATAAGTGCTACCACTTTGGCTAAACTGTTGCCAAAGTGTCCAAACATTAGGCGAATTAGATTTCCGGACGACTTAGCGTTGTTGCCATTGATTACCCGTTATTGTCGACACTTGAAACACATTTATATCAATCAACAAATCGATAGACAACTATCGGTAACAACTATTGATAAGTTTTTCACATTATTTGCCGATCAGTTGCAGACAATTCATGTCTGGAATTCATCGAAAAATCTGTTCAAATCATTGAACACTAATCTGAAGAAATGTACAAATATTTCGACATTTAAATACATTACCAGAAATCTTGAAGACGAAATCAGTTTATATCGTCAATTCATTGCTGCCGCTGCTGATGAACCAATGGTTTACCAAAAGCTAAACAAAATAAAGATTTTTGTCGAAACCAATGAAATGTTGACAATATTTGAACAAATTGTTAGACTATATGGCCATCAATTGAAATCAATGGCAGTATTGGTTGACAGCAAACTACCATTAATTAGAAAAACAATGACTGGTTTGTCACAAATAAAACAATTAATTCATTTAAAGATAACTATTTTGGAAAGCGATAAAAACTATTGGCAAACACTTGTCCAACTGTTACCACCAATTGGTCGCCAATCTTACCAATTGAAGAGATTATCAATTATTATTAGATTAGAAAGATATGCAAATTATAATAATAATAATATTAATCATATCATCGATGGCTGCGATATATTGAATACTATTAGCAATAATTTTAAACAATTAAAGAGACTGTATTTGAGTAATTATATTGATTTGATTGGATCTAATAATAAGATAAATGGTTTCAAACAGTTAACACATTTGACAATCTATTCAAAGAAGATGTCGACAACTGATCACTTCATCGATAATATCGCCGCTAACTGTCCGCGACTTCAATGCTTAGTATATAGCGGTTATTGCATTGACTCAAAAACATTGAAATCATTGATACAATTATCACATTTGCATACAATTAGCTTAAAGAATGTTGACAACAAACTAATCGCTTTGAATGCTATTAAAAAGTGTCGTAAAATTAGCCAAATTTTTATTAATTATAAAAAGATTAGTTTTTAAAAATATTATTTTAATTAATTAGGTTATAAATAATATTATAAGTTATATTAGAAATAGTTTTGAATTATAATTGCATTGAATTTTGTTTTTATAATTATTTTTGTTTTGTTTTACTTGACTATCAATTTATGTAATTATTTACGGTAATTATGACATTATTATTAAATTAGTTTTTAAACGATTATATCTAATTAAAACTATTATACTTAATAATAATAATTTTTATAATATTTTAATAATAATTTTAACTATATAATGACTAATTAAAAATTTTCAGTTAGTTTTTTTTTATAACATAAATAATTATTTTTATTTTATTTAATAGTATAGATTATCTACTATACTATAGATGTAATAATTTTTAAATAACACACTTAAAAATCAAAAGTATAAACTTATTAATAAAATAAACTAATTTTTTAAACATTTTTCATTGTATTTTATTATACAGTATTAAGTAAATTCAGTAAATTATTATTATTTATTTTTAATTATTTTAATCAAATTTTATTTTAAACAAAAAAAATGAATTACAGTATAATTATTATTACACAAATAGAAAAATTTAAAATCAAAATCAAATTAATAGACATTTTATACATTTCATAGCAATTTATTGCCATTAATAATAACTTTGCAAACATTACTAGAATTTTGAATAGCATTCAAATTGGCGTTTTTGCAGACATTGTTTAAGATAATTGTCCGCAAATGTGGTAATTGTGACAACAATTGCAATGCTTTTGAGTTAATACGATAACCAGTGTACTCAAGATATTGAAGTCGCGGACAGTTAGCAGCGATATTAGTGATAAAGTGATCCGTTTTTGACTTAGGATCTGATATTATTGTCAAATGTGTTAACAGTTTGAAGCTATTACGGTAATCATATTATTAGTAGATCTAATAAAATTCAATCGATTATAATATAAATACAATGACTTTAATTGTTTAAAGTTATTGCAAATAATATTCAATAAATTGCTGCAATTTCTTCCATAGGGTTTAAAAATAGATAATCTCTTCAATCGATAACATTTAATACCAATTTGTGATAACCAATAAATTTCATCAATAAATCCAATTAAGTCAATCAATTGTGTCAATTGTGTCAAACCAGTCATAACTCGGCCAAAGTCGACATCATTATAGTCATTAAAGTGGAGTATTAGTTTAATTGATGTCAATTGTCTACCATATAGTCTGACAATCTGTTCAAATATGTCAACCATTTGATTGTCAAAAACTAAAATCTCAATTCTGTTTAGTCGCCGAAAATGTGGTTCAAAAGTAGTAGTAAAATGTCGATATATCTTAGGTATCGATTCGTTACCAAAATACCGACAATCTGTTTGGTAACTAAACGATGATATGTCCGAACATTTCTTGAGATTTTCGTCTAAACTATCAGTTAGTTCTTCACAATCATTTGATCCAAAATAAATTGTTTGCAATTGTTTGGAAAACTTAGCAAAAAACTTGTCTGCGATGGTCTTTACAGTAAGAAATCGGTCAGTTATACTGTATTCAGGATTAATACAAATGTGTCGTAAGTGTGGACAGTATCGGGTAATCAATGAAAACAACTGTCCATTGCTTACACTTATTCTAAATTCATTGTATTTGTTATCGATTAGTGTTATGTTTGGACACTTCCTCAACAGTATTTCCAACGAATTGTATGATATTCTACATAACTTTGGGTCAAATATAATCTCATCGACAGTTTGTGGTATCAATCGTTGCCATTGTTTTGAAACCGATTCAAGTTTTACTTTCTCTTCAAATGTCAGATAAGACAACAATAGTTGTGACAAATCATCGCCAAAACGATCAAATGATTGTCGACTACTCTCTGATGAATCAATTCTTAGTCTACTTTTCATTGCCATCGATAGACACCTAATTGTCTCAATTGATGCCATAATTATCTGATGACTGAATATTTTCAACAATAATATACCAATTGTTAGACAAATAAAACAATTAATAAACAAAAAAATTCAATTCAATTGTAATTCAAAACTAACTGTTAGTTAGTTTTGTTTGAATTATTCAATTGACTTATATATTGAGTTCACATTTGAGTCACAGTTACTGTTAGTATTAAATGACTCAATAGTTTAATTGTATTATTAATGTTGTAATAAAACTATTGAACTATAAATATATTAAACAATATATTAAATAATTTGTATTCAACAGTAAAATGTTTTATTGAATAATAATTGCAAAAAAACAAACAGTACTGTAATTATATAGTAATATATATTTAATTTGATTATTACTATTGTAACAAATGTACTAAATTATTCAATTAAATTTAATAATAATTTTACTAAATATTATTATCTTTAATTAAAATTTAAAAATTTAGTATTATCATAAATGTTACTGATAATAATAATTATTATTTTGAAAAGTCTAAATACTTGATAAATATATTTTAAATACAAAAAAATAATAATAATAAACAGTCAACTAGTTTTCAATTATTGATACATTTATCAATAATTAATATTATTAAAGATATTAAGTGTTAAATATATGACATATTATTTAATCAATTGAATGATAAATTTAAATAAAAAGTTAGTTTTGTATTACAATTGCATTTAAATTGTTTGTTTGTTTATTACTAATTGTTGTTAAACTTAAACAAATAGTCTAATTGTTTAAACACCAGTATATTATTATATAATTAGTTATTAAAGTATTCAATAAAATTAATGTCAAAATTATTTATTAAAACGAAATTATATTTTTAAAAATTAAAACATCAAAATAGCACACATTTTATAGCCCTTTATTGATACTAACTCTGCAAACATTACTAGAATTTTGAATAGCATTCAAATCGACGTTTTTGCAGACATTGTTTAAGATAATTGTCCGCAAATGTGGTAATCGTGACAACGATTGCAATCCATTGGAGTCAATACGATAACCCCTGTAATCAAGATATTGAAGTCGCGGACAGTTAGCAACGATATCATCGATAAAGTGATCGGTTGTCGACATCTTCTTTGATATGATTGTCAAATGTGTTAACTGTTTGAAGCCATTCATTGTATTATTATTATTAGATCTAATAAAATTCAAATGATTATTGAATAAATACAATAACTTTAAAAGTTTAAAGTTATAGATAATAACATCTAATAAATGTTTGCCAATTTCGCTCATTGTATCGTCGATGTCAGAAAAAAATACTAAACTCTTCAATCGGCGACATTTATTACCAATTGGTGCCAATAATTTCGTAAACAATGGCCAATCCTTGTCGCGAATAAAGTCTATGTCAATGTATAATCGAATCAATTGATACAATTGTGTCAAATCAGTCATAACTCGGCCAAAGTCGACAGCAATCAGATTCTTGAGTTTTACTGTCAATGATGTCAATTGTCTGCCATATAGTCTGACAATCTGTTCAAATATGTCAACCATTTGTTTGTTAAAAACAAAGATCTCAATTCTGTTTAGTCGCCGAAAATGTGGTTCAAAAGTAGTAGTAAAGTGTCGATATATCTTAGGTATCGATTCCTCAGGAAAATAACTATCTCTTTGGAAACTAAACGATGATATGTCCGAACATTTCTTGAGATTTTTAACTATCGGTTAGTTCTTGACATTCATTATATCCCAACCGAATTGTCTGCAATTGTTTGGCAAACTTAGCAAAAAACTTGTCAACRATTTCCACTTTACCGATAAGTGATTCGTCTTCGTAATCATCTTCGAGATTAATAGTAATGTGTCTCAAGTGTCCACAGTATCGGGTAATCAATGACAACAGTTTTGCGTTGTTTATCGTCATAACACAGTAACCAAAAGGATTACAAATGCGTGCAATGTTTGGCCACTTCTTCAACAGTATAGCCAAAGATTTATCGGTTATTTCCAGAAATTTTCTATTAAGCAAAATCTCTTTAACAGTCTGTGGTATCAATCGTTGCCATTGTTTGGAAACACATTCAAGTCTTAGTTTATTATCTAACGACAGATAAGACAACAATAGTTGTGACAAATCATCGCCAAAACGATTAAATGATTGTCTTCTCTGAGAATCGCTTCTTAAATAGATTTTCTTTGCAATCGATGGACAACTCATCGCTTAAATATTGATGTCAAACCTGAAGACAATAATTAAATGTAAAAATCAATTCAAATAATATATTAATAAATCATTTGTTTTACAATTTGATGACACAATTAGTGATAATATTATGAATTTATAAACAATTAAACAAATGTTTTGTTTTTGTTGTGAAAACTATGAAAACACTAATCAATTGATTACTGAAATACAGTATTCATTCCATTCATACATTGATTGCATTATTCAAAATGTTTTCAAACAAACAATGCTTTACTACTATTGGTTGAAATATCTGAAAGTTTTTCTAACTATTTGTTTATACAGTTTTATACAGTATATTACGTAAAACTATTTATACCAATATTTAATTATATAATGTCATTAAAAAATGTATTAAATTATTATTATATTTATATTTATTTTTTGTTTTGTTTTATTATATTTTTTTAAATGGATTATTTAGTACATGAAAAACAAATTATTCAAAAAATGATAACTAAAATATTTTTTACTTATAATTAAATAGATATTATAGATTTAGGAAATTAAAATCTAATTATTATTAATAATAGAATTTTTAAAGTGATTTTTTCCACAAAAAAAACATTTAAATACTTTAAAAAATTTAATAATCTAATTCTCAATTATTGATACATTTATTAATAATTAATATTATTAAAGATATTAAAGTGTTAAATATATGACATATTGTTTAATCAATTGAATGATATATTTAAATAAAAAGTTAGTTTTGTATTACAATTGCATTTAAATTGTTTGTTTGTTTATTACTAATTGTTGTTAAACTTAAACAAATAGTCTAATTGTTTAAACACCAGTATATTATTATATAATTAGTTATTAAAGTATTCAATAAAATTAATGTCAAAATTATTTATTAAAACGAAATTATATTTTAAAAAATTAAAACATCAAAATAGCACACATTTTATAGCCATTTTTCATACTTATTGATACTAACTCTGCAAACATTACTAGAATTTTGAATAGCATTCAAATCGACGTTTTTGCAGACATTGTTTAAGATAATTGTCCGCAAATGTGGTAATCGTGACAACGATTGCAATGCTTTTGAGTCAATACGATAACCCCTGTAATCAAGATATTGAAGTCGCGGACAGTTAGCAACGATATCATCGATAAAGTGATCGGTTGTCGACATCTTCTTTGATATGATTGTCAAATGTGTTAACTGTTTGAAGCCATTCATTGTATTATTATTATTAGATCTAATAAAATTCAAATGATTATTGAATAAATACAATAACTTTAAACGTTTAAAGTTATTGATAATAACATCTAATAAATGTTTGCCAATTCCGCTCATTGTATCGTCGATTTGAGAAAAAATTACTAAACTCTTCAATCGGCGACATTTATTACCAATTGGTGCCAATAATTTCGTAAACAGTGGCCAATCATTGTCGCGAATAAACTCTATGTCAATGTTTAATTTAATCAATTGATACACTTGTGTCAAATCAGTCATAACTCGGCCAAAGTCGACAGCAATCAGATTCTTGAGTTTCACTGTCAATGATGTCAATTGTCTGCCATATAGTCTAACAATCTGTTCAAATATGCCAACCATTTGTTTGTCAAAAACAAAGATCTCAATTCTGTTTAGTCGCCGAAAATGTGGTTCAAAAGTAGTAGAAATAGTAGTAAAGTGTCGATATATCTTAGGTATCGCTTCCTTAGGAAAATA